CTACCGAAGCCAGCGTGGTTTATGTATTTAGGCCCCCCTATACAAACCTTCAGGAAAAAACATATAGATATTTATGAGCTTTAAATAGGCACACCCACATTTATAGGTCTTATAGTTATCATAATTGCTAACTCACATTCAGGGCAGCCGTCGGCTGCCGCATTGGGGCTGGCTGCAGCTCTGCAGCAATGGAGGCAAACTTCTTGCCAAAGCGGGGCGTATAGCTCCTGTTCCAAGATAGCTATGTACCCCTGTTTAGGGTTTAGGGTTTATTTAGGGTTTAGGGTTATAGGGTTTATAGGGTTTAGGGTTTATAGGGTTTGCAGGGTTTATAGGGTCTAGGAAAACCCATTTCAAATTTAGCCATAGCTAAACATCTGAAACACCCATTTCAAATTTAGCCATAGCTAAACATCTGAAACACCCAGAGTTTCCAAACACTGTCTGAGACGGTTTGAGGCGGCTCTTGATGCCCGTGTAGCGCTCTTTCCCCAAGTTCTCATCCCAGTATCGCTTGCACAGGGGCTTTGCCGAGGCACGTTGAGCCTCGGGAAACTATGCCAGCCCCCCCCCCCCCCGACCAACAAGTCAAAAGCATTTCACGAAAACAGAGGCTAGAAACACGACTTCAGAAGCCGAGATGCTTTCGTCAACGGGCCAAGATTCAGCAGGTGGATCTGGGAGCAATTGCTCCAAAAGAAAGTGCGCTTCAAAGAGGCACAGCCGTAAGCACGCATCCATATCCCTTGACGGTACGTGACTTGGATGTACTTCGTGAAAAAACGCCACCACGGCAAGAAACGCCACATCCCAGAAGAAGGCTGCTCCACCACCCAGCGATGCCCTAAGGCCGACAGAAGCCAGCACAACAGTGTGACCCTGGCAGCCAGGGCAAGATTCCAGCATGAGAAACCCCATAAGGGTTTAGGGTTTATAAGGTTTATTGGGTTTAGGGTTTACAGGGTTTAGGGTCTATACGGTTTATGGGTTTAGCGAAAATTCCCAACACCAAGCCTGATGGCCATGATGTTGCTTTTGCGAACATCATCTCGCCCCGTGTTTCCCAGGGGCATCATGGTGTTCCGGCCCGTGTGGTTGCAAACGAAAACGCCCATGGTACTACACACCGGAGCCAGTAGCACCGTACTCGATGGCTGGCGGCGCAGGATTGCGCCCAGAGCCAGCCTCTAGAATCTTCTAGAAGAGAACAAAAACAGAACATCACAGGAAGAGCGCCCAGCAGACCGAACTTTAATCCGAGAAGACAAGGTGCGCATATCCACTGTTGGACAGGAAGTCCATAGCCGGGCCACTGTAGCGTAAATCCAGAGCCACCCCAGGCATCTTAAAGGAGCGCAGAGCTGCTGTTACGTTGCCATCTCCGGCAAAGAATTCGGCAAAACGCCAAACCTAGATTCGATTGATGCTGCACAAACGATTTGAAGCATATAGCAGCCATCAAGACAAGGTTTCCCATCATTGCCAGTCAAGAGGCACGTGTGAGATCCATCTTCGCGTTGGCCAGCAGAAGCAAAAGACACACCACAATGACCTTCAGCAGAGGGTTCTAGAGGCAACCCCAATTACAAAGAACCACTACAAGCCCAGTACCTGGGGTGTGCTGGATTCCACAACCCAGAAATATGATTACAAACTCTACAAACCTGAAAACCTAAACCCTTCCCAAAGGCCTTGCTTAACCCTCAGGCACTGCTACACCCCCCCTCCCCCCCGCCCACATCCTCTTCCCCCCAAGGCTCCCCAAGCCCCTAACCCCCCCCAACCCCTGCGTGGCCCTGTTGGGACCCGAAACCCAACCCCCCCTTCTCGGCTCGTGATGGGGGGGGTTGGGTTTCCTGATTTTGCAGGTTCTGAGACTTTGTAAAGGGTTAAGTGTTTACAAGGATTTCAAAACTTATAAAAGGTTAGAGGGGGCTCATATAGAGGGTCCAGGGTAACCAAATTTAGCCCCCCCCCCCCACCCCGATTCAGCGGGGACACCTTTGGCACACGCCCAGCATAAAGGCGCATGACCAGGGCCCGCGCCACATGTGGCTCCATTGCTAATGAAAGGCAAGGGTTCCCAAAGAAGTTCAATGGAGCAAGGGTACAAGATTACAAAGACACACCTTCGGTCATTATGGGTGTGCAAGCTGACATCGAGGGACCTTATGAACTATTTTGATCCTTACAGGCACTGTGGTCATGATGGGTGTTTAGGGTTTAGGGTTTAGGGTTATAGGGTTAAGGGTTTAGGGTTTATAGGGTTTAGGGTTTATAGGGTTTATAAACCCTATAGGGTTTAGGGTATAGGGTTTAGGGTTTATAAGGGTTTATAAGGGTTTAGGGTTATTTTCATGCTTGTAAGCACTGTGGGAGAAACAGGCCAACTGCATGAGAGCACGACGAGCACGTATCCTTGTCTAGGGTTTCGGGTTACATAGGGTATAGGGTTTTTAGGACAGAATCCAGAATCCCCGACAACCGGCAGTCCTTCCAGCTTCGCATAGGCATTGAGCAAGCTTTTGTTGCTCAGTGGCATGTCGACCTGAGGCAGCCCAACGCACATGCCGTGGCCTACCGTGGGTGAAGGCTGGAGTGGGTCATGCAGCAGACAGTTGTAGAATCAGCACAAACGGCAGTGGACATCGATCGTTTTCAAGCTTTGCACATTTCAAGCTCCATGAAACTTCTTCTGCAAAGCAGCACAACACTCTGCCCCATCAGTGCATCCTGCACTCCCCATTTCGGAAACCCTAGCATCACGTCATCGAGATGACATGTTCGAATCGCACACAGCTCTCTATGCCTAGACTTGAAATGCAGGCCCAGCTGTGCTTGACTTGCACCAGCACCACAGTGTTGCATGCCCCACGACCTCTAAGACAACAGCTTGCTATGCACCTCTACAGATATTCGAAGCGCAAGTCAGATCCACTCCTCCAAAATCAAAATTTAAGGAAGGGCTTGCAGCCTTCTCACACTCTGGCCTTCAGGCGTTTGCGCAGCTCCTCTGCCTGGGCTGAGTGAGCAGCCAGGGGGAAGAGGGCCCTAGAATAGGTATACTGGAGAAACCAAAGGTTTATACATATGGTGGGGTAGAGGATTGAAGCCTTTTGTAGGCTCTCTATGCAGGCAGAGGTTACACTTAGGAATAGGATTGCTGAGGTTTGAAAATAGGGGAACAGGGAGCCCACTTTGGTGTCCCTGGCTGCCGGGCGAGCAAAAGCTGCAAAACGCAGCTTGTCAAACCTATCAACCCTGGTAAGTGCCTTATATACCCTGTGTAAGCTTGCACAGAACGCTGCAAGATAAGCCGGCGAAGCCTAAATAAAAGCAAACCCAACCCTGCAAGCCCTAAAACCCTTTTCAACCCTATGAACCCTAAAAACCTCAAACCCAGTTCAAGCGCAGCCTAGCCTGAGGAGGCTTCAGCTGGTGAAGCCTACATAAGCTAACAAACCCTAGACCCTATAAACCGTAAGCCCTAAAAGGTATAAACCCCATGAACCCTCTAAACCCTTTAGGGTTTAGTAGGGTTTAGGGTTTATAGGGTTTAGGGTTTAGGGTTTAGGGTTTAGGGTTTAGGGTTTAGGGTTTAGGGTTTAGGGTTTAGGGTTTAGGGTCTATAGGGTTTAGGGGTATAGGGTTTAGGGTTTAGGGTTTATAAGGGTTTACCTTAGGGTTTAGGGTTTAGGGTTTATAGGGTTTAGGGTTTAGGGTTTAGGGTTTATAGTTTAGGGTTTATAGGGTTTAGGGTTTAGGGTTTAGGGTTTAGGGTTTAGGGTTTAGGGTTTAGGGTTTAGGGTTTAGGGTTTCCCAAAAAACCTGAATCCCTATAAACCCTAGAAACCCTAAACCCTAAACCCGAGGAGGCTGCCAGCGCCTTCCCGAAACCCAATTTCAACCCTATAGACCTTATAAGCCCTATAGCCCGAAACCCTAAACCCTTTGTAAGCATGGCCTGTCGAGTTTGCCAGCACCTTTCCGAAACCCTATATTCCTACACAAACCCTAAACCTTATAAGCCCTTACCCTAAACCCTAAACCCTTTCTGAGCATGGCCTGACGAGGCTGCCAGCACCTGACTGAAACCCTGCCCTAACCCTAAACCCAACCCTTTCTAAGTGCTTGAGGAGGCTGCCAGCGAAGCCCTATCACCCTAAACCCTATAACCCTAAACCCTTTCTCAGCCAGGCTGTCAGCCCTTCCCGAAACCCAATTTCAACCCCATAGACCTTATAAGCCCTATAGCCCGAAACCCTAAACCCTTTGTAAGCATGGCCTGTCGAGTTTGCCAGCACCTTTCCGAAACCCTATATTCCTATACAAACCCTAAACCTTATAAGCCCTTACCCTAAACCCTAAACCCTTTCTGAGCATGGCCTGACGAGGCTGCCAGCACCTGACTGAAACCCTGCCCTAACCCTAAACCCAACCCTTTCTAAGTGCTTGAGGAGGCTGCCAGCGAAGCCCTATCACCCTAAACCCTATAACCCTAAACCCTTTCTCAGCCAGGCTGTCAGCCCTTCCCGAAACCCAATTTCAACCCCATAGACCTTATAAGCCCTATAGCCCGAAACCCTAAACCCTTTGTAAGCATGGCCTGTCGAGTTTGCCAGCACCTTTCCGAAACCCTATATTCCTATACAAACCCTAAACCTTATAAGCCCTTACCCTAAACCCTAAACCCTTTCTGAGCATGGCCTGACGAGGCTGCCAGCACCTGACTGAAACCCTGCCCTAACCCTAAACCCAACCCTTTCTAAGTGCTTGAGGAGGCTGCCAGCGAAGCCCTATCACCCTAAACCCTATAACCCTAAACCCTATAACCCTAAACCCTTTCTCAGCATGGCCTGAGGAGGCTGCCGGCAAGCGCCTTCCCGAAACCCTATTTAAACCCTATAAACCTTAGAAGCCCTAAAGCTACTCAAATGTTTCAAATCCCTACAAGCCCGCTAAACCCTTCCCTAAAGACATATTTGTAAGGCTGAAGTTTATCAAAATTGCAGCCAGGTTGCCACACTGTTGCAAAATGCAATGTTCGCCTGCATAGACGGGTACTTGGCAAGTAGGATGTGCTTCCCGGAGGGTGCATACTTGAGGCCACAATGTCCTCGGGTCCAGTAGGGATCAAGGCGGAAGTTGGAGCAATTGTCCAGAGTCCTCGGAGGCACGCTACAATTAGGAGTCTTTCCATGATTCCATTCCACACTGTCGCATGAAACCCCCCCCCACCCTGCCCTGCTTCCATATGCTACCAAAGCTCTTCTTGTACTCTGAGCGCAATTCGTGCTGGATGGGGATTTCATCAATGCGCTGCATCACAGGAAGCTTGGAAATCTTGAGGGCCGTCTTGGTCTTCAAGGCATCGATGTCGCTCAAGATAAACGTCACGACCTCATCCACCCCCTGCCCTTCGCATGCCTTCCGCACACTCTCGTCCACTTTGGCCTTCTTTGGTTTCGGCTCAGGCTTCGGATTGGCCTGGGCTTTGCGCTTGGCGTCCTGAGGCTTCGAAGGCTTTGCAAGGGACTTGGCAGCTGGTCGCCGCAAGACCTGCGGCTCGGACTCCGCACTCTGGGAACGTGATCGCCCACGCTTTCGGCCTCCACCGCCGGAGCCTCGACCACCCCGGCCTCGAGCACCCCGGCCTCCACCACCCCGGCCGCGACCGCCACGGCCACGACCACGCTGCTCAGAAGAGACTGCCTCAGCATCATCCTCTTCCTCCTGGCCCTCATGAGCCTCCCCGGGCGCATGATTGATCTTGCGGCGCCTCTGCTCCGCAACCTTTGTCTTCTTCATCCTGCGCTGGTCCTTGCGCGTGAAGCTTGCATCAATGGAAGGGATAGAAGCCAAATCGTTCTCCTGCTGCTCCTTCTCGCACAGGTCGGTCTCCGGCAGCTTCTGCTCTGCGTGGATGGGGCACAGATCGGTCTCCGGCAGCTCCTGCTCTGCATGGATGGGGGTCGGGCCGCACGGGTCTTGCAGCTCCTGCTCAAACGGGTAGGTGTCCTTTCGGTCGTGCTCTACGTCCATGAAACACAGGTCGGGCTCCTGCAGCTCCTGCTCTGCACCGATGGGGGACGGGTCCACATGGCATTCATCAGCCACCTCTTCAAACAAGCCAGTCAAGTTGCGGCGGAGGCCTTGGCCAGCCTGAGACGCTGGCTCAACCGCAACAACAGACGGGGCCACTTGGCCATCCACCATGTCAACATCCACCTGGGTCTCAGGAAAATGCGTGTCATCCTCCGGACTGCACACCAGCAGACCACCACGATTGAGACTTGGCGCGCGTGACTCCACCACAGGACTACCATGCACGGAGAGCACCTGCAGGAATAGTTTAAGGGGCCACCTCTACATTTACATAGCACTTATCCAAACACACACACACACACACACACACACACACACACACACACACACACACACACACACACACACACACACACACACACACACACACACACACACACACACAACCACACACACACACACACACACACACACACACACACACACACACACACACACACACACACACACACACACACACACACACACACACACACACACACACACACACACACACACACACACACACACACATACACACCTATGCAAGAAAATCTTTCACAAACCTCCGAAGAAGGCATCTGCATCAGGAGATGCGCTGCTGCAGCCATCTCGGCCTCCGGAATTACTTGGGTATCCAAAGTGCAAGGCGGCTGCCTCTTCACCTGCATTCTCTCCTTGACTCGCTTCAAGATATCCTGGGGCCTTACGCTGGGAGCAGGCAGACGCGAAGAGCTTGCAACAGCAGGGCCAGGAGAGTCCTCCAAGTCAATGATCGCCACAGGCCTGCCCTCCATGGCAGGCACTGCCATCTCGCTGTGGTCCACAGCAGGCCCGCCAACCACTGCCATCTCGCTGTGGTCACTGTGGTCCACAGCAGACCCAGGGCTGAACCTTTCCACGATGCCTGCAGCACTTGGTGAGTAGGCCTCCAAATCTTCATCGTGGGCGTCCATGTAGGCCTCCAAATCTTCATCCTCCTCCTCCACGTCCGAAGCTTCTTCGGCCTCCTCTGCATCATTCTCTCCATCATCCCGACCCTCTGGCACACCAAATATCGTATCCTCGGCACTGCTCTCTCACTCTCACTCACTCACTCTGTAAGGAGAAATCTTTGGAAATCAACGCAATATTCTTTATTCATGAGAGTTGCAGCCAGCTGCGAAACCTCGAGATCTCTCTGCCTGTCTGCCCGGTAGCGCAAGCGGCGAAGGGTGAGCAGCATGGATTTCATGGCCTTGCCATCCACCTTGGCGATTTTGTAGTCACAAGGTGGCTCAAGATAGTTCTTCCACCAGCGTGCACAGTCATTCAGGATCACCCTGTGCAAGGGAACAGACTTCAGGAAGAGGTGAGGGTACTTCTTCACATATGTAGAATACACCTCAAGGAGATCGAGATTGGCCTTGATAGTTCGCTCATTCATGTCACCCTTCTCCTGAGGGTACGCAATGACTGAGCCCGTTCTGGCTTTGGCCACGATGGAAGGCTCTGTGCGAACGTCCTCGCAAATCTAAAATGTCACATCCTATAAATACATCCCATAAAAACAATGACACCCATTCAACCTTGCAGTCCTTGATCAGTTGGCGAAGATCAAAGAGCACTTCATCACTCTCACCCCGCAAGAACTTCGGCACCGAAGGAAGGGCACGCTCACGTGCATCCACCGCCGCCATGGCGACAAAGCAAGATTGCACGCCACACTCAAAACCCATATTCTACGAATCCTGCCAAGACATGTCCTGATGGATGCCTGTCACATATGACACCTTTCACGAAGCTCACTGCTCAGCCCAAAAGCCTTTCCAACACGATCCGCTCAAACAAATGCGGCACGAGCTGAGTGCACTGAGCTGGCGCTGCGTCTCTTATCAAAACTGCTCCCTGGGGCCCGGGCCCCGACTGCCCAGCTTGCAAACGCCAGACAAATCCAGCAAGAACGGGCCATGATCAGGCAACCATGTTGACATGTACAGATTTATTGCATGATACTTAGCTACACGCAGATTGATTGCATTGCTACAATGTGCTATCTTAAGAGAATGAGCTTTGCATGGTGAACTCTGCTGGAGTAGCCGGCGCTCCAAAGCAGAAGCTTTAAAAAACCTTCCCAACCCTAGCAACCCTAAACCCTATCAACCCTATAGACCCCAAACCCTGCACTTCCACATCCCAGCTCCAAAGGACGTCCTGCCAGCAGGGTTTTTGGTTAAAGGTTATGGGGTTTAGGGTCTCTGGGTTTGGGGCTTACTTCCGAGTGTCATTTTTTGGTTTTCCGTGTCTTATGGGGTCACGTGCGGTTTTTTTTTGGTCTTACCAGTTTTTGCTGTTGGGGTCACAAAAAGGAGGCCATACGAAGGAGCAGGTAAACCCCCAACAAAAAACACCCCTAAACCCTGATCCCTAGATCCTAAGCCCTAAACCCTAAACCCTAAACCCTAACCCTAAACCCTAACCCTAACCCCTAAACCCTAAACCCTAAACCCTAAACTCACCTTGTTCCATGCTTTCTCAGCCCCAAAGCCCAAAGCCAACAGGTCCTGACGATTTTCGCACTTTCCATGCGGCTCGGCACGGTCTTGAGAGAAGCGGTAGGTAGGGTTTAGGGTTTAGGGCTAGGGTTTAGGGTTTAGGGTTTAGGGTTTAGGGTTTAGGGTTTAGGGTTTAGGGTTTAGGGTTTAGGGCTTAGGGCTTAGGGCTTAGGGTTTAGGGTTTAGGGTTTAGGGTTTAGGGTTTAGGTTTAGGGTAGGTGGCGTTTCGGGTTTAGGGTTTAGGATTTAAGGCTTACGGATTCTCGACTCTAAACCTAAACGGATGAAACCCGGTAACCCCAGACCCTTGCTTCATGAGTGTTGCGCAGTTCCACGGCCAGTTCAGAGTGCTGCTGCAAATGGAGGTCGAGGGCGTAGAGCTTTGAAGTTTCGGGTGAAGCCTAAACTCTAAGCTTTAAGCCCTAAACCCTCAAACCCTAAACCCTAAACCCTAAACCCTAAACCCACACCTTCACCCACAGGTGTGCCTACTCTCGCTGGATCAGGGCGGCTTGGAGCCCAGTATGCATCGCAACTCGATCCAAACTCGCACCCCAAAGGTTACAGGGATGCACCTTTACTATACTCCCTAAACCCGAAACCCTAAACCCTAAACCCTAAGCACTTCATTCCCGCAGGGCCTACTTGGGGCCATGCCTGCAACCTGTGGAGCTCTGTGATGGTGTCGTTTGAGGCCCTCGACGGGCTTTCGGTTTTAGGGTTTGGGGTTTAGGGTTTAGGGTGTAGGGTAGAGGCCTGGTTGCATAGGGGTTTGTGGTTCAGGGGTTTCAATGTGGCCTTAGAGGATCTTCAAAAACGGCTCCCCAAGCCCCGCGGGTGCAACCTTAGGGGTCCAGGGTAGAGTCCCATAAAGCGTGAGACCATGAGCGTCTTGTGTCCACGTCCGGTCGGTGGCTCAAGCCTGTCTATCTGCATCATAACCCAAACCCTCACCAGGTAGGCCCTTAAGATATTTCATATTTCCCCTTGGTGGGTAGGATTTCTTTCGGAACCCTGAACCCTAATCCCCGCGCCCTAAACCCTAGCTCTGAACTAAAACTCCCCCAAAACACTCCCTGAAGCCTGCAAAACCTGTGGTGCTGGCGGAATGGATCGTCCAGCAGAGCTTCCTCCTACAGTGGGCACATTGTGCCTCGGTAGGGCCTTGGGGAGGTTTTGTGTTTTGAGCCTTTGTGGGGCTTGAGGTGATAAGACTCTCCTCATGTACCCCAAACCCTACACCCTAAACCCGAAACCCTCAACCCTAAACCCTAAACCCTAAACCCTAAACCCTAAACCCTAGGCCCAACCCAGGTGCCGTGACACGCTCTGGACGCGCGTCACGCCCTCAGGCAAGCGGGCACCTACGTGGCACGCCATGGAGTTCACGGCACCCTGGGAAGCTCGACCTGGGTATTGGCAGAGCCGCGGTTCAGGGTTTAGGGTTTAGGGTTTAGGGTTTAGGGTTTAGGGTTTACAATGATATAAGGGATCCCTAATATGACTAGTAGTAGCATTCCCGTAAGAAAGCACCCTGATCAGGTACTGTACCCCTAATTTCGGAAACCCTCCATATGTCACCTGTGTGCTCTGTGAAACCTATAACACCGATAGCCTGAGGCTGAACCTATGGACCCAAACCCCAAACGCTTTACCCCAAAATCTCCCGAGACCCCAAACCCTAAAGCCTGTAAACCCTTAACCCCCAAACTCCCCAACCTCTAATCCCCTACAAGCCCCTAAAACCTAGTTTGACCGCCAATTAAGCCCCGAAACCCTGGAAACCCTAAACCCTAGCCCTAAACCCTGAACCCTAAACCCGAAACCACAAACCCAAAGGAGCGGGGGCCAAAGTCCACGAAAGGCCCCAAGCGTGGGTGGAAGGGCCGCAAGAAGATGCTCTTGGGCCTGGTTTATGGTTTGGGGCCTAGGGTTCAGGGTTTAGAGGGTTAACTGAAGGGTTTACAGGGTTTAGAGGCTAGCACGCTTCGCAGAGCATTTTTTAATAAATGATTTCCCATCAGACGGTCAAGTAGCAAAAAAGCACGCGTTACAACACCACTTCATATCCCATGCCTCAACAGTAAAGTGCTAGCTGCTTGCAGCATCTCGCCATGCCGCGCGTCGACGACAGCTGCCGCCAGAAAGAGGAAGCATGGAGAGAGGCAGTCGGAGGCCTGCAGCAACCCGTAGACCTACAAGGAGGGCCCCCCCTTACTATAGTCAGTATACTTAAGGGACTTAGAACCTGAGTTAGGATCCTTATAACCCAATTTAGGGCTCTTATAACTCTACTTATAATTAGGGGGCCCCTCCTTGTAGAGTTCAGATTGGGAGAATGCCGTGAGTCGTTTCGCCTTCAGAAGCCTGTAGAGAGGGTTGTCGCACGCCAGCTAGTCATACCATATATCTAACCCCCCCCTCCTCCCCCATTTTTCCCCTGCAACGCGCAGCCCTGGAGCTTCCAAGGCGGCGCGCAAGCGGAAGCGGAAGGCCAATAAGCTTCGCAACAGAAAGGCCATCGATCAAGGGGAAGGGAAGGGGTGAGCCCCAAATGATTTTTGTGACACGCAGAGACGGGAGAAATGGAGCAGTGAGGGAGGCGTGGGCGCGAATCAGCATTTCGGCATTTTTACGTCTATGCTGGCAGGGCCAGCCAAAAAGCTTTGAATCATCGTGGTGCGTGGGGCAGTTTCAGAGCTGGAACTGCTGGTAGGGACATGATTTCCGCAAGTTCATGGGTGTGAATGAGCCTCTTTTTCCCGCGCTACTGCCGTGGTCCCACGGATGGTCGCAGACTCCTGGCCATGGTGGGCGCGGAAGGGTGCCGGGACCCCAGCCTGCCCCATACCTGCAAAAGACTGCGCTGCTCCGATGCTGCGTTGCTTGCTGCCAGGCTGTGCTGCAACTTCCGACTTTCGCTTCTGCGTGATAAGCGCGCGGTGAGCCGAGGCTTGGGCCCAAACGCACTGCCATTCTTCTGCAACAGAGCAACTGAATAGCCCTTGATCGGGCGAAGGCCGTCGCGACGTTCTTCGCATAAACTACATCCTTCAGGCTTCCGGTGTGCCCCCCGGCTTTCAGCAGCTTTCAGCAGCGTAGGTGTGTGCGTGAGTACTACAGTTTTCGAGCATCCCTGCAGGGAATGGTTTTTGTGACATTTGCAAATTCTTGCATCAAAGGAGGGCGGGGTCGACTGTGCGCTCATGTGGGTGTCGAGTGTAAACTCTCATCAGCGATTTGGGGGGACAATCTTTTGATACCGGGGGATGGTTTTTTAAAACATAGATGTCGGAGGCCTGATTTTTTCACTTCGGTTCTGGGAGAGGGAGATAAACCGGGGATGGACAGGGCAAAAAAGTGACCCAGATACCTGTTTAAAATTTCCATTGTGAGCATACAAATTCATCAAAATTCACTGTAGCGGCTATAGACGGTGCTGCGCATGTCGAGCAAGCCTCTAAACGCCTCTAAGCCTTTAAGTATTCACAACAAGACTAGTGTAGGGGCAGGGCGGGTCTGAGGAGTTTCGAAGCAGAATCCAAGTTGTTAATAAGGCTCGAAACGCCAGCAATGAAATTATGCGGGCTAGACAAACGTGGGTTTGCAGCTCTTGGGGTTTCGGCCAAGGCGGATACGGGGCACAGGCTTAGCCAGAAACTTTCGGGTTTGACGTGATATGCACACATACCAAGAGAAGTTTTGGGACTTAGAGAGCATCGGATTTAGCTACTCAAACATATTTCTCATGTAACGAGCGCTAAGTTTTATGTCGAAAATCAGGCCTCCGATTTTTGGGAACCATAATAAGTAACTGTCCGAACTTAAGTCTTTGAAAAATCAGCCCCCCCAAAATTGAAGATCTGTTTTTCTTTCCCCCCACCCCCCGAATCAAAAGATTGTCCCCCCAAATCAAAGATTGGAGAATGTGTGCGCGATTTTTCCGCTGTCCAGTGCGCGATCATTTGCTTTGCCCCACTTGGCGAGCGCGCGCTCATGGAAATGTTAACGCCAGGACGAGTGTGCAGGCACCTATTGTGCAAAAGGAACTGGGGGGAGGCAGGTGAAGGGTGGGGAAGGGGGGTGGGGTGTGGATCGGACACCAGAATGAATGCGCACTGGACCCTTCGCCTTGGAAGGGTCGG